TCTCAGGGTGTATCTCAGGGTGTTTCTGGGTGTCTCAGTGTATCTCAGGGTGTATCTCAGGGTGTTTCTGGGTGTCTCAGTGTATCTCAGGGTGTATCTCAGGGTGTTTCTGGGTGTCTCAGTGTATCTCAGGGTGTATCTCAGGGTGTTTCTGGGTGTCTCAGTGTATCTCAGGGTGTATCTCAGGGTGTTTCTGGGTGTCTCAGTGTATCTCAGGGTGTATCTCAGGGTGTATCTCAGGGTATCTCAGGGTGTTTCAGGGTGTCTCAGGGTGTATCTCAGGGTGTTTCTGGGTGTCTGTTCCCGGTTTAGAGCTGAAGCTGGAGGAGTTCCCGGTGGAGGAGCAGCTGGTGCTGGACATCCTGACCCAAGTGAACGTCGCCAGGAGGGAGTGTGAGATCGTGAGTGTTCCCGGGAATCCCTGGGACAATTCCTGCAGGAGCCCCTGGGGGAGGCTCAGCTCCACTTTTCCCTCTGCTTTTCCCAGTTTTTTTCCCAGTTTTTCCTGGTTTTTTGCTGTTGTGGGAAGTTTTGTGGCTCAGCTTGACTTTTCCCTGTGGTTTTCCCATTTTTTTCCCATTTTTTTCCCATTTTTTTCCCAGTTTTTCCCCATTTTATCCCATTTTTTCCCCATTTTTTCCCCATTTTTTTCCCAGTTTTTTCAGTTTTTTCCCATTTTATCCCATTTTTTTCCCCATTTTTTCCCCATTTTTTTCCTATTTTTTCCCATTTTTTCCCATTTTTTTCCCATTTTTTTCCCATTTTCCCCCATTTTTTCCCCCATTTTTTCCCCCATTTTTTCCCCCATTTTTTCCCCCATTTTTTCCCCCATTTTTTCCCCAGTTTTTCCCCAGTTTTTCCCGTTTTTTGCTGTTGTGGGGGAGGTTTGTGGGTCTGAGCTGTTTCCCTTTCCCAGGAGCTGGAGGGGATGGATTTGGATGAGAAGAAGGAAATCAACAAGAGGAAGCAGATGATCCTGGAAGGGAAGGTGAGAGCTGGGAAAACCTGGGAGAGGGAAAGGGAAAAAAGGAAAAAGAAAAGGAAAAGGGGAAAAAAAATGGGAGGGGAAAAGAAAAGGGAAAAGAAAAGGAAAAAGAAAAATGAGAAGAGAAAAGGGAAAGGAAAAGGGAAAAGAAAGGGAA